AGTGTCTTATGGTTTATTCTTGTAGAAATTTTTAGAGGATCAAGTAACTCATAGATTGATCATTAATGTTTCTAGTGTTGTCTTTTTTTGTACCTAGATTCATTTGCCATAGCTGGCTACAACTTGTAAACTGGTATCTGTCAAGTTGTTAGTGAACATCATGGGAGTTCTAAGGTCTTACTGTAATTAGGTTCTTTCTCCCTTGTCTCCCTTGTTGTTTTTCCGAAGAAAATGACAATAGAAATGAAAAAAGAGGAAAATCAGTAGTCCTGGTTCTGTATATGGCGATTTTTTAGTTCAATGAATACTGTATTTTGTTATTTATTATAAGTGTTTATCCAACTTTTGGTTCCAGTAAGAATGTTGAACACATTGCAGGACACGCGTGACAAACAGTGGTGTGAAATATTTATAGTTACTTTTATATGGCTCTTTAAACGAGTATTAGTGCTATGTAGCTTAATGTGAATGGTTGATTGGTTATCCTCTGTCTGTCTCCCTCTCTCTCCCTATGTTTCTCTGTCTTTCCCTTCATTTCTCGTCTTACTTCACTTGATTGCTTGATCTCTGTCGTTTGCTTGTGACTTTCAAATTTATTCTGCACGCTTTATTTCTCCACAGTGCTGTCTTGAACTCAGACATCAAGTTTCAAATTGCCCAAAATAACTTCCAAATTTTCGCTTATCCTTTGTAACAGAATATTCTGACTGTTATAAATACAATTCTGAAATTTTCATGCGCAGCATGTAAACCCTTATATTTTCATTGAAGAAAATTTTGGTTCTCTGTTTCTTGGGTGGAAGCATATCATTTGTCTGACTTATATTTTAATTTTTAGTTTAGAGAATTCTTTGGGGTAAGTATAATGAAAGTTATGAAGGCTTGATTATATCTTAACTGTATAAATATTTACCATGATCTATTCACTTGTTCGTACAGGGTGCTTTTGGTAAAAGTGCACTAATTGGATCTGGTTTGGCAACATACACGCTGCTTGGATTAGGAGTGGTATGCTTAATTGTTTTTCTTTGGTTCTATGCTCAGAGTTAAGTAGCCATAGCCAGATTTTTTAATTGCTACTTATAATACACAGGTAACGTAGCCTCTTTGTTTTATGTCAATAACACACTGAAAAGGCTCCATATATGGGTTTCTGGCTTTCTGCTTCCATACCCTTGTTTTTGTCTCTTCCCAGTACTAGAACTTTCAAGTTCTTAGTTCTTCAGTTGGTATGATTCTTGTAGGAATTTCACTTTTTGTAAAAGTCTAATTCCTATACAGATTGGTATATTCAGGGAAATCTTCCTATAAAGTAAAACTGTAGTCAACTTTTAAAGCTGAAAGTCTTTTTCTTTTATATGACAAATTATATTTAGTTTCCTGGTTAAAATTTTCTTTAATCTTCTATTATATATGTAAGATGTTATAAATAAAGTATTATGAACAAAAATTTAATAAATAAAAAATTTAACTACAAATTTTCATAGGATTATAGTAGAATCCTTGAACTCTAAAAGGCCTTTTTTTTTCTTTTTCTCTTTTGCTGATAAGCAAATATGGAATAGCCATGACAAGATCAAATAACCTTTGTGAAGTCACATCTTGATTTGATGGAATTATTTCCATTAGACCATCCAAACTAAAAGCCACTCAAATTTCAATCACCAGCCATAAACTAAATAGAAGCAAATACATTCAATGGTCTCAATGAGTCAAGATCTTTATTTTCATAAGAAGAAAAGAATATCTCATTAGAGAAGTCATTCAACCAAGCGCCGAGGACCCAAAGTTCTGGACTTGAAAGGCCGAGAATAATCTAATTATGTCGTGACTGATTACCTCTATGACAAATTATATTGGAGAAAATTTTTTGTTATACGGGACAATACACGAAATTTAGGAAGCAGCTAAGGAGTTCTATTCGAATAAAGAAAATGTATCAGAAATTTTTACTATTGAATCTAGCCTCTGAGACCTACAACAAAAAATTTATCTGTAATCCAATGCTATAATATGTTCATTGACAATGACTGAATGTGGTTGAGAAACTTGCATGGAATTGTCTAGATGATGCAAAGCAGTACAAGGAAATTTTAAAAGAAAATGATTTTCAAATTTCTCATGGGATTGAATAAAAATCTGAATAAAATTCGTAGAAAAATCATCAGAATGAAATCATTACCTTATCTTCGTAATGTATTTTCTGAAGTAAATAGAGAAGAAAATATAAAGAATGTAATGGTGGGAGATGGATTACAAGCCCTACTACTAAGCAAAACTTTACCTTGACTGCCCCAGGACCTCATTTTAACTCAGATAACCGATAAAGAAAAGGAAGACTTTAGTATGATTATTGTAAAAAATCAGGTCATACTCAAGACAATTACAAGAAAATTCATAGAAAAACAATTGATTTGAAAGACCACAAAATCAGCCGCAAGTATAAAAAGTAAGCAAATCATGGCTCTATTAATGAAGTTGTCTCCACTAAGAAATTATGCATGTTCAATAAAGAGCAAATAGAAACCCTCTAAAAAATGTTAATAGATTAAAACTCCATGAATAACAATATAGGATTTGGGACAACAAGCTAAAAGTGTGATTTTTTTAGTGTTTTTAATGTTATTATAGGAAGTCAAGATACTTGAATCATTGACTTCGAGACCATTATCTATATGCTGGGAAATAAAATATTGTTTCAAGAATATAATTCATGCAAAGAGAATCTCACTCTGAAACAGTAGATGATTCTCACTTAACAGTGGTTGAAATAAGCGATATCCACTCAAAAAAATTAATCTTAAATAGAGTGCTTCATTTACTTAACTTGGATTGCAATTTATTATCAGTAAGAAAACTTATCCAAGATTATAACTGTATTGCTAAATTTTATTGAAACTTACGTAAATTTTAGAACTTGAATTCGAGAAGGACGATTGACAATGCTAACGTGTACTCATGAATCTCTTTTTTCAAGGATAATGAATCTTTTATGAGATAATTCCATACTGTAATATGTGTTTAGTCTAAAGATAGTCCAACTTAGACAATTTTAATATCATTATATTATGGGTTACCGAATGGGACATCCAAATTTTGCATACCTTCAAAAACTATTTTCTTTTTATCTAAAAATAAAAATTTAAAAAATTTTCATTATAAAATATGTCAGTTGTCAAAATATATTCATACTATATATCTTATATTGCCCCACAGAGCATCTAAACCTTGCTATGCTATAGTGATATCTTAGTACTACTAGAATCAACAATATTATTGGTATTAAATAGTTTATATCCTTTATAGATGATTATATAAGAATTACATGACTATTCCTTTTGAAAGAAAAATCATAAGTTAGTCATATATTCAGAAAATTCAACAATATGGACTGATTCTATAATTGATAAAAGATCCACCTATGGATATTGTTCCATATTTGGAAAAACCTAGTTATTTGGAAAACTAAAAAATAATCAGTGGTATCAAGGAGATGTCCTGAGGCTAAGTTTAGAGATTTGGGACATGATAGCTGTGAAAGAATATGTCTACGAAGGGTCTTAGGTGAATTAAAAATTCCCTCTTTAGAGGATGTAGAAGTGTTATGTGAAAATCAATTCACAATAAGTATAACAAAGAACTCAGTTCATTATGATTGAACTAAACTTGTAGAGATTGATAGACACTTTGTTTAAGAGAATATAAAATCAAGAGCACTTTTCTTGTGGCACATTCGGTATTACCATAAAACAGCGGATATTTTCACCTAGACATTTACCTAGGAAAACTTCAAGGAATTAAGTTTCAAACTTGATTTGTTCAACATCTTTAAACAAGTTTGAGGGAAAGTGTAGGAACCTAACTTCTTGTAGAAGTTTAATTTTGTGCAGATTGGTCCTTTCAGATATAATTAGAATCATAGTTGACTTTTGTAGTTGAAAGATCTTTTTTTTTTTTATGGGACTAATTCATATTTAATTTTTTATTAAAACTCTTCTAATCGTCTTCTATATGTATTTACCTATTGTAAATTAAGTACTATAAATAAAAATTCAATAAGTAAAAGATTTAATTATAAATTTACAATTCTGTATCATGATTTTTCTCAATTTGCTTCAATTCCTTAAATTTTACATATATTTTTTCCATTTTCCCTTTGGTGCAGCTTGGCGGTCCTTTATCACTTCCTTGGGGACTCTATGTGCTGATTTGCCAGGTATTAGAGTTATCAAATGAAACTATTTGCATCATTTTGCAGAATCCAACTGCAGCATCCATGAGAGGCGTAGTTCCTCCAATTAGTTAACTGTTTAAGTTTCTTATATACAATTAACTGTCGCTAAGGCTGATTTAAAAATAAGGACCATATTGATCTACTAATACCATATTCAAATGTGTTCCAAACTCATCTTTTCATCTACTTATTTGTTTCGATATCGTGCTCAGAGAACTCCAGAGAAGCCATGCTTGAATGATGTGACTGAGGTTGGAACATGGAGGAAAGTAGCTGTTGCCATAGCTATGTTCCTCGTCATCTTGACGCTGCTTCCCGTTGGGGATGAGCTCGCAGAAGAGCTAGGTATAGGTCTTGTAACCATATTTTGATGTCTAACATGTAAATCCAATTTTTGACTAAAATCATATTGAACATTGAGATGATGGAGGTCTTGTTCAATTGGTTATATAATCTTTCTTGTAACTATGTTATCCTTATTTGTTACCCTGTTTTTCCCTTTCCCCATTTTTGCTTCCACTAGGATTTCAGTCAGTTGTAAATTGAAACATGGATGTCTTCTAATAAGATAATTTTACAGATTTTTTTTCTCTTCCTTTATGGCTTGTAATTATAATATTTTTTGGATTTATATTAATTAGGTTACTCTAATTTGCATTGTTGTACACTTTCCATAATTGAATTATTTCTCACTTCAATTTTTTTTAGAATAATAGGTGATAATATATTATTTAATACCTTTTATCATCTAATACAATATTTGTTTTTTTCTTTTCAAAAATCACACCAGATGTTAATAGAGGAGTCATCCATGACCCAATTAAGTTTAGAAATAAGATTAATGTTATGGCCACACTTTTGCCTATATTTACTATTTTATCCTTGTTAGATCTCACTGTTACACTATACCTAAGTGGGTTTATCTCTGAAAATTGTTTTCTTCATGTGTTTGTTTAAAAGTTTTACTGTAAACCAAGAAATTTCTATCTCAAATAATATAATTCGAGTTTGAGTTTTATATTTTATTTAATTTGAAATAAAAAATTTACCATGTGTTTACATGTTTGAGAGCAATTTTGTCTTTTGACGCAGTTATGGAAATGGAGTTTAGCTAAATGGGAATTAAAATTAGGGTTCCGATACAGAAACCCAATTTTCTTTTATTAAAAAAAAGTAAAATTTCATCGCAAATCAATTTCGTGTATTTTGTATATTTTTATATTCGATGAAACAGAATGCAAATTAAATTTTGGAGTTAAAATAAGGTACCTTTAATTTATGCCGTCACAAAATCTCCCACCTAGAGGGACTCCGTACCCTGCTCAAATGGCGGATTGTTTCTGATTTGGGTTTGTCTTGGCGGGGTCACTATCCCACTGCTCCCCAATGTCGCAACAATGGCGTAAAAAGTTTCACCACCATCACCAACCAGAAGCTTCACTCCTCCATTGCGCAGACCTCATCCTCCCATGGCTAACCCCAGTAGAACTAGCCAACGTCTCCTTGACCTGCAAAATCCTCAATCAGCTCGCCAAATCCCTAACTCTCCATCGATCCCTCGACGTCTCTAGATCCCTCGAGACCTTCCCTATACGTTTCCACAACTTAGTCGATCATCATCCCTATGCCTTTTTCATGTACACCCCCTCTCAGGTTCTCCCCTCTTCTCCTTCAAAAAACATTCCCCGCCAATCTTGGGGTTTGACTTGTAACTCGCTGAGTCGAATTGGTCCAAAATCGGTAACTGGGTCGCCAGGATGCGACGCGGGTGTCCCGGATTTGGGTTCTTCTGCGAGGCTGGTGAATCTCGTGGACGAGGCTGGGGAGGCCGTGTCTGGATGTCGCTGCCGGAAATGTGAGGAGGTGGATGATAATGGTGGGTTTGGGTGCCCGTGTCGGGGTTTGGAGGGGATGGGAATAGTGACTGAGTGTGGGCCGAGTTGCGGGTGCGGGTTGGAGTGTGGGAATCGAATGAGCCAGAGGGGGATTTCTGTTCGGTTGAAAATCGTGCGTGATGGCAGGAAGGGATGGAGTTTGTACGCTGATCAGCCGATTCAGCAAGGGGAGTTTGTCTGTGAGTATGCTGGTATCTCATCTTAACTTAGTTTCCGTTTGAAGCAGTTAAGAAGTGTTTGTTTGGGTTAGTGCTTTGGTTGTCAGTATGAAATGGAGCTTATACTATTTGCCTTACTCATATAGAGTGCTTGTTTGGGTTCTTTTGTGCTTCATTCTCGAGTCAACTCATGGTGTCATCTCCGAATTTTAACCAAACAAGTTTATTTTTGCTAGGGTGAGTACTGAACCATTTTTGTGCTTTTATTTTTTCCTGTGGTTCATATGTAATTTGTTGAGAGAATACTGACACCTCATATATTTAGGCAGTGTCATTTTTATTTTATAGTTCTACTGGTGTTATTGCATCTTGTTGAGGGTTATAATTAAATTTGATGATACAAAATAATCTTGGCAGAACTTTTCTCAGATCTTCATTGGATTACTTTGATTGCCAAAAATGATGATCATATGATAAAGTAATTTATAAGAAACATTTACGGTTGAAATGTTCTTCAAAAGGTGAACTTGTGACGACTGAAGAAGCTAGAAGACGACAAGAAGCCTATGACAAGTTTGCATCAGCTGGCCGGTTTTCCTCCGCTCTTTTAGTTGTGAGAGAGCATCTTCCATCCGGAAAGGCATGTTTAAGGATAAATATTGATGCCACAAGAGTTGGAAATGTTGCACGATTCATTAACCATTCTTGTGATGGTGGTAATCTGTCAACCGCACTAATTAGAAGCACAGGGATATTGCTTCCTCGGCTTTGTTTCTTTGCTTCCAAGAACATAAAGCAAGATGAGGAGCTAACTTTCAGCTATGGGGACATTAGAATGAGGGCCAACGGCTTGCAGTGCTTTTGCAGCAGTTCATGTTGTTTTGGAGTTTTGCCTTCGGAGGATACATGATTGGAAGAGGGAGGTGTCTTGGACTCAGAAATATTAATCTGTGCTTTGGCTGGTACTGTTACTCGCTGGAAGCTTAACATATTTCCCTCCATGCATTCATCATGACTCAAGGTAACCAAACTAATCTTATACGGTCTATGTGTATATTTATTCATTTGTAAAAGGTTTTTGATTGTGATATGAGGGTATTTTGGATACTTCATTACCAGCTCAGAAAAAGAGAGAAAGGACTGGAAATGTGGAAGAAGAGTGTGATGGACAAATTATTGAGCTTATGATTAACAGAATTGGAAGTTTTGATGAAGATGAAGATATGATCTCTCATGTCTGGCTGAAAATGTGAGAATTAGCTTCAAAGTGATTTAGGGAAATTTTCTGCACATTCTTAAATTTCTCGGTTATAAACATGAATTCAGAATTCTGATACCAGTTGTTTAGCAACCTAAGCTCCTAACACCATTGTTGGAAGTGAAAGCTGGAGTGGTTAATAGAACCAGAAACAAGATAAGGATTGGAGAAAAGACAAGAGGGTGAGAAAGAGAAGCATGGGAGATTAGGAAATTTCTGAAAATTCTGTCTGTAATGCTTCGGATTGCATGAAGGTTTACAATTTCAAAATTTGTGTTGAGTTTATTTGTCAATAAATTATTTCAAACAGAAAACGATAAATGCTCTACCTTTGATCATAAAATTGAGTTAATATAAAATTTTATGGGAAATTAATATATATATATATATAATTCATACATTTTATTAAATACAAATAGATACATGAAATTTTTTTATTTATTTTTGAAGTAAAAACTTCATACACAATATACATATATATATATATATTTATAATATAATTTTTTTAATGAAATTTTTATAGGATTATGGAAGTGGCTGACAACCGCACGTCGGTTAGCTATCAAATATCCACACGCCACGGGCAGCACAAATCTTGTGCCTTTCCACACAGACAACCTCCTCCTACTCACACAACCCACAATTTTCATTACACCTCTTTTCTATTTTTACATATTATTATATCATGCTCCCCATCTCTCGGCAATATAAATATATACATATATATATTACCATTTTGTTTTAATTAATAATCTATTCAAGTTTTTTTTTTTTTTTAATGTAATAAAATCAATAATTATTGAAAATTGTACAGTATTTTTTTTTATTTTTATATACAATGTTTCTTACATTAGAACAAATTCGTCGTAAAAAATATATTCTTCAAATAATTTTGATATATTCTTCAAAATTTGTCTATTAAATTTAAATAATAATTTTGATTTTTTATATAATAAAAAAATTATATAATTAACACAAGTACGAATATTTTGTGTAAAGATCACGAATTTAAATTTATAGAATTTGTCATTTTATAAAAAATATATAAAAAGTTTAAATTTTATCTATGATATTTAAATAATAAATTTTAACATAAGCACACTAATACAATAATTATTTTTATTTGCAAATCAATTTTATGAAAAATTTTATAAAAAAAAAAAATCAAATTTTACCTATGAAATTTAAATAATAATAAAAAAATATATAGTTAAAACAAGTATAATGGTTTAGTGATTGTTATTTAAAAATTACTTAAAATTTATTATTTTATAAAAAAATTAAAAAAAAGTTAAAATTTTGATAATAAAATTAAAATAATAAATTTGATTTTTTTAAATAATAAAAATTATACAATTAATATAATATTATCATTAACATTTTAATATTTTATTTAAAAATTACGAATTTAAAAGTATATATTATAAATTGGTGATGAAAAAGAAAGATTCTATGAATATATTATATAACTTTTTCTAATTTTTTTTTTTTTTTTTTTTTTGTTAAAA